TTATATATATATATATATATGGCGCTGGTGGGCCATATATTATTAATTAATTAATTCTTGAATGAAATCGCAATAATTTTATTTCAACTCGATAATGACTGTTTATTAATGTCTCAATTGATAAAGATGTTGATATTACATTAAATCAAATCTAAATTTCGATCACGAGAAAACGCTCGTTGGCAAAAAACTCGATACAATATTTTCGATCGTTTTAAAAAGCGCGACAATAATATTCGATCGTATAAAAACAATCAGATCGTTATAGCTTGCTTGATGCCAGATCCGAATCAACGTAGCCCAATATAATTTAGTTTTGTCATCAATTGACGTTATTCAACTGACATCTGTCATATGGTGTTCATTCCGCCATTGTCATCAATTGACGTCCTTCAACTTCATATGGTGTTCATTCCGCCATATAACTCCCCTTCAAAAGAAAAAGAGGTATCCGGTAAAAATAAATGAATTTGATTATTAAAATTTGAAGGAGACTTTTTTAGGCTTCATCTTTTTTGGAGGGTCAATCGATAACTCCAAGTTATGTGATTTAAATTCTTGAGATGAGCTTGGTTGACTGTTATCTATTTTAACTGTGTATGCTGGTTTTAGTCTGTCAACCGATATGTTCTTATCAGTACCATCCATAGAAATTTTGAACACTTTGTCTGAAATTCTTTCTATAATTTCATATGGTCCACTATATGGAGGCTCAAGTGGTTTTCTAATATGATCAGATCTTACAAATACATGAGTGCATGTATTTATGTCCTTAAGCACAAACATATTGGCTTTATTATGATGAGCTGTGGCTGTAGGTTTAATATCCCGCATTATTCTTCTGTGGTAGTCCAGAAATGCTTGTGGATCGGATGACAGTTCTTTAGTTGTGAAAAATTCGCCTGGTAGTCTTAATGTGGTTCCATAAACCATCTCAGCAGGAGATGCTTTAAGGTCTTCTTTGTATGAAGAACGTAAACCTAGTAAGACTACAGGTAATACTTCGATCCAAGGCTCAGGAGAGCACATTAAAGCTGCTTTCAGAGTTCTATGCCAGCGTTCAACAGACCATTGGACTGAGGGTGATATGCCGTTGTCCGTATTTTCTTAGCACCTATTGCATTCATTAGTGATTTGAATATAGCTGATTCAAACTGGCATCCTTGGTCGGATGTTATCACACATGGTGTACCAAATCTTGATATCCAGTTTGAAAATAGGGCTTGGACAATCGTGTCTGCAGAAATGTCCTTTAGAGGAACAGCTTCTGGCCACCTTGTAAATCTGTCGATGATTGTTAGGCAATAAGGATATCCATTAATATTCGGTAATTTGATTATGTCAATGTGAATATGCGAAAATCTGTTTTCAGGAATAGGAATATGGATAGGAGTGAGGTGATTATGTTTATGAATTTTGGATTTTTGGCAAGGAATGCATTGACGTGCCCACATGGTGACGTCTTTACCAATCCCAGGCCACACATACCTTCTTCGCAACTCCCTTGAAGTAATCCTTATGCTTGGGTGTGCATTTCCATGTACAATGTCAAAAGCAATTCTGCGAAGACTTTGTGGAAGGTAGGGCTTCACACAATTATCTTGCCTGTTGCAATAAACTGGATACCCCCCTAATGTCAATTTTTGAAGATTAATAGAGGTGTTGCCGTTCAATATAGTTTGCATTTCAACGTCCTTACTCTGTTCTTGCGAAATTTCCTCTTCGGTTAGCTTTGATGGCATTTGAATGGCATTGATCCTGGACAACGCATCAGCAACAACGTTCTGATCACCCTTCACATATATAATATCAGTGGAAAACTGTGATATGTATTCTAGCTGCCGTCGCTGACGATCTGATGCTTTCTCCAGTTTTTGTTGAAATGCGTGTGTGATTGGCTTGTGGTCTGTCTTGATTATAAAGTGCCTTCCTTCTAATAGATATTCAAAATACTTTAAAGCCGCAAAGATGGCTAGTAGCTCGCGATCGTAAGTTGAATATCGCTGTTCAGTAGCTGTGAGCTTTCTGGAAAAGAAACCTATAGGGTGCCATGCACCATTTTCTTCCTGCTCCAGAGTTGCTCCAATGGCTGTTGTGGATGCATCTGTAATTAAATTAATATTTGCTATACTTGAAGGAAAATGAAGAAGAGTTGCATTTGCTAGAGCTTCCTTCAGCTTGCTAAATGCTGATAATGAATTGTCATTCCATTCAATTTTAGTCTTGTCGTTTTTAACTGAGGACTTCACATACTCATAAAGAGGTGCTTGTATATTTGCTGCCTTGGGTATTGATTTACGATAATAGTTTACCATTCCCAAAAATCTTCTGAGTTCTATAACTGTCGAAGGTTTTGGATAATTAATAATTTTCTCTACTCGGTCTGGTGAAGGAGAATATCCTGCAGCACTCAGTTTGTAACCGAGGAAGTTAACTTCATCTTTTCCAAAGGCACATTTCTCTAAGTTTATTGTAAGAGAATATTCCTGTAGCCTCTCAAAAACCAATTGAAGATGACGACGGTGCTCATTCATATCAGTCGACATTACCAGGATGTCGTCTATATAAATGAAAACAAAATTAAAATCTTGGAATATGTGATTGATAAACCTCTGGAATGTCTGGGCAGCGTTTTTGAGTCCAAATGGCATACGTAGATACTCGAAGAGTCCCCATGGTGTGATAATTGCAGTCTTTTGTATATCCTCTTCATGCATGGGTACTTGGTGGTAAGCTTTTTCTAAATCTATTGTAGAAAATACTTCTTTTTGATGAAGATTATTGAATACATCTTGTATTAATGGTGGAGGATACCTGTCGGGCAGCGTGTTTGCGTTCAGCCTCCTGTAGTCTCCACACATTCTGAATGTGCCATTCTTTTTGGGAACCATGTGAATAGGGCTTGCCCATGGACTGTTGGAAGGCCTCAAAATGCCCCTATTCAGGAGATCTTGTATCTCGGACCTGGCTGCAACAGCCTTTTCTCCGAAGATCTTCCTGAATCTGGAAGCTAATGGTGGACCTGTTGTGGTTATCCTGTGGGCAAAAAGAGATGATTTATTATTGGTGGTTACCTGTGGCTTTGTTATTGCGATGTATTGTGCCAGTAAATCCTTGAAGGGCTCTGCCGGGTTGACAGTGGAGATGTTAACTTGCTGTGCCTTGAGTACCTTTCCATCAGAGGTAAGGCCTGTAGTCGAATCAATCAATCTTCTACCCTTCAAGTCTATTAATAAATTGTAGTTGCTTAGGAAATCAGCTCCTATTATGGCTGTGGCTACATCGGCAACAACAAACTGCCAGCTAAAGCTTCTGCGTAAAGATAAATCCAGCTCCAGAGTTCTCTTTCCATACGTGGATATTCTGCTAGAGTTTGCTGCAAATAGAACTAACTCTTCCTTAGGATGACCATCGGCAAACTTCTGAGCTGGTAAAATGGATATAACTGATCCTGAATCTATAAGAAATTGGATTGCCGTCTTTCTGTCTGATATATGAAGACGGAGCTCAGAGCAGACAGAATTTACTTCACCGTCATGGCAAGCTCCACTTAATGACGGTGAAGTAAGTTTTTTGACTGGTTTAGAGATTTAAGCAGGCAGGGCTCTTCACACTTTGTGGCCTTCTCCCCATATCTGTAATGATAGTAGCAAACCGATCCACGTGAAGGTGTCCTGGACCTATGTCGAGAACCACTTCTAGAACTTGACTGATTGAGTTGTTCACTTCTTGATCTTGACTGGTTGAGTTGTGATTCTTGCTGATCATTTCTCTGTCTTTCAGTGTTCAACATTGCCTTTAGTTCCTTGATTTCCTGGACGCATGACATAAGAAGAGTTTCGTGGCGGTCCAGTCTCTGTTCTACTGAAGACTTGTGTGTTGTGGACATCACATGTGATGTGGGGCTACAGTGATCGACTAAAATATCGGCAACTTCCGCCAGGGCTTCCGGACCAAGATGGCGAGAAACTATTAATTGTGGCCGAATATGGTGTGGCAGGCGTTCTGACCACAATTTAATTATGATGTCTTCACTGACCTCTCCCTTAGCCAAATTCATCATTTCTCGTAGGAGCTGTGATGGTTTCTTCTCTCCTAGAGTTAAGTTTTTTAATAGCTTGTCAATTTGCTTACCTCTAGATTCAGACATTCTGCTTAATATAGTGTTTTTGATATATTCGTATTTGCCTGTCATTGGTGGATTACGGAGGACATCCTGGATGAGGCGCAGTGTCTCGAAGTCTAGGGCTTTGAGTACTGCTGTGTACTTAGTATTGTCACTCCTGATCCTAGCAGACTGAAACTCATGTTCAATAACTAAAAACCATAAGTCTGGAGAATCTCCATTGAATGGAGTGAGACGGTGATTGTTAAATGCTGCTATATTGTATTGATCAGCATAACTGTCATGTTCATGTTCAGAAACACGAGGACTGCTCGTGTTAAAGATCGCCTCGTGATCCAGATCGATCAGAGATCTGTTGAGCGCTGTTTCGTCATTGACGGACGTAGATCGAGTCGACATGTTGATAAAAATTGGTATAATTTACCTTTATTAATTTACTTGTATTTGACAAGTGTTTTTCTTTCTCCGTCTGACGTCACCAATTATGGGTACTAAGACGTTGAGAATGTCTCTTGCTTAATGATTTCACTTACACGTTCGGAGTCACCAATTATGGCGCTGGTGGGCCATATATTATTAATTAATTAATTCTTGAATGAAATCGCAATAATTTTATTTCAACTCGATAATGACTGTTTATTAATGTCTCAATTGATAAAGATGTTGATATTACATTAAATCAAATCTAAATTTCGATCACGAGAAAACGCTCGTTGGCAAAAAACTCGATACAATATTTTCGATCGTTTTAAAAAGCGCGACAATAATATTCGATCGTATAAAAACAATCAGATCGTTATAGCTTGCTTGATGCCAGATCCGAATCAACGTAGCCCAATATAATTTAGTTTTGTCATCAATTGACGTTATTCAACTGACATCTGTCATATGGTGTTCATTCCGCCATTGTCATCAATTGACGTCCTTCAACTTCATATGGTGTTCATTCCGCCATATATATATATATATAGGTATTTATGAACCTGAAAATCATTTTTAAAATTAATGTCATCAATGAAATTGAACATATTGCTTTAACAAATTAAACTAGTAACCATGTATTGAATGGCAATTGAAATTTTTATTTAATGCATATTCTTATTGAAGTTTTTTTAATTTGATTATTTATAGTGCAAATATATTGTAAAACTTTCTATCTCTAGTTTTTGTTAATGTGTTTCAATCAATCACTTCCATTTTTACAAAACTTACTCTTTCCTCATTTTTATAAATACATATTTCTAAAAATGTATTAGTAAAATGTAAGAAACAATATTATAAACATCATCAATTTTTTATTTTTATGACACTATTCATATTGATATTGATATTTATGTTTATAGATCCAAAGATATTAATATTTATCTAATTTTTTAGCATACAAAACTGTCTCTGGTGTCAATGGACCTCTGGTTATTTTGGATGAAGTTAAATTCCCCAAATTTGCAGAAATTGTACAACTCAGACTTTCTGATGGAACTTTACGTTCAGGACAGGTAATTTAACTTCAGTTGAAACAAAATAGTTTATCGAACTTATCATAAACTTAAGTTTATACATCTATATATGTATATATATATATATATATATATATATATATATATATGTATATATAATTATTATATAGTATTTACATGGTATCCTTATAAAGGTATGCTATAATTGAATGCCATCACCATCTTTTGATTGTGATGATTGCTTTATAAATTAGATACACACAGTATTATACTAAATATATATATTAGGGTAGTCCTTAACATGAATATATTCGAATTTCTTTTCTCCCAGGGGCTCTAGAAGTTTTAGTTATTAATATTAACTTTAAGATAGTCTTCAGTTTCTTATTGAAATAACATGGAAAAATTTCTATTTGTTTTTTTGAATTTTATAACTCAATGACAAACAAATCAAGCGTAACAATTGCAATCATATTTTATTAAAAATTTGACTCGCCACAAAAAAGGTTTCTTATAATTCTTCATTAAATCTATTGGCTTACGAGTTATTTGAACTTGAAGTTATTCTAAAATTGTAATGTAAATATTTATTTTATGAAATATATCATATTTTTGTTATGAAATTTTTATTTTTGATCAATATAAGCAATTACCGTGATATTCTCAAAATGTTGGTGACTTGTCACTGATTTTTTTTGTTTATTGTTTTATTGTATACGAGTATGTTAGATTGGTTGCTGAGTTATGAAATTCTAAAAAACAAATGAAATATTTTTCATATTATTTCCATAAGAAACTTCGGGCGGTATGCGGACTATCTTAGTTAATATTAAGAGCTAAAACTTGGAGAGAATTTTTTTTATCAATTTGGAAGTATTTGAGCCTCTGAGAGCAATGAAATTTCAAAATATCCACATGAAGAACCACCCTAATATATTAAATATGTATATATATATATATATATATATATATATATATATATATATATATAGTTTGTAAAATGACTGTCATGGCATTAATTTATAATTTTATCATATAATTGCTATATTATATACGTATTTATGAAATTCAACACTATGTCAAGATTCTTTGCATGTTTTCACAATTATAAATATTAATGATTTGAAATTAAAATAGGTTTTGGAAGTCAGCGGCTCCAAAGCTGTTGTACAAGTTTTTGAGGGTACCTCAGGAATTGACGCTAAGAACACACTTTGTGAATTTACTGGTGACATTTTGAGGACTCCAGTATCAGAGGATATGTTAGGTAATCTAACTTAGCATTAAATAAAAATTAAAAAGCAATTTGTTAGTGTTTTGGTAGGTTTTCATTAATTATTATATTTTAAAAAGAAATGTATATAAAATTTAGAACTGCTTCATACATGTGTGTATATAGTTCCAGTTTTTTGTCTTGTTTTATTACAGAACATTGAGTTTTTGCTTTTCTGTGTGAACTTGCCCAATTCCTAAATGAAACACAATTTGATAATGCTCTAAATAATTATAAATCAAAAACTTGTTACTTTCTCATAATTTTTCTAAAACTAATTACTGCTTAAATATTATATTTTGAATACATTATTTAATTTTTTGAATACAGTTTTCAACAAAAAATTATCAAAGTTTTGCTTATTTGTTATTTTATGTTTAATAGTTTTTGTGGTGTTAGTAACTAACAACTTTTTTATAATTATAGGTCGTGTGTTCAACGGATCAGGAAAGCCAATTGACAAAGGACCCCCAATTTTGGCTGAAGATTTCTTGGACATCCAAGGTCAACCCATCAATCCCTGGTCTCGTATCTATCCTGAGGAAATGATCCAAACTGGTATATTTAACAGCTATTATGAATATTGTTTTTTTTTTTTAGTAATCTATATGCATATATCATTATCACCCAGGATATAATTATTTAAGTATAGTCGATAAATATCCCCAAATTTATATTAATTATATAAATTTCATTCATAGTTATCCTATTCATTTTTTTTTCTTTTTTTTTTTTTAATTTCAATAATTATTACAACTGCTAATTTATTAACATCAAGTAATATTGATAAATAATAATATAAATTTAAATAAATAAAAGAGCAAAGGATGAAATTTACATGAAAATAATATCCGTAATATGATTTAATGTAAAATATAAGCAAATAATAATAAAAATAATATTAATTAAATATTCATAGTCATTCATTTTATTCATAAGTTCAGTCTTAAACAATTAATTTTTGTCTATTAGGTATCTCTGCTATTGATGTGATGAACTCCATTGCTCGTGGACAGAAGATTCCCATCTTCTCTGCAGCTGGTCTGCCCCACAATGAAATTGCTGCCCAGATCTGTAGGCAAGCAGGTTTAGTTAAAATCCCAGGAAAATCAGTTTTGGATGACCATGAAGATAACTTTGCCATTGTGTTTGCCGCTATGGGTGTCAACATGGAAACTGCCAGATTCTTCAAACAAGTTAGTTATGATTCTTTAGTTTTTGAACTTTACACTAATTGGTCATAAAGCCAAGTTTTGCACTGATGGTACATTTACTAAGTAAACACTTTCTTCTAGGATTTCGAGGAGAATGGTTCCATGGAGAATGTGTGCCTGTTCTTGAACTTGGCCAATGATCCAACTATTGAACGTATCATTACCCCACGTCTGGCTTTGACAGCTGCTGAATTCTTGGCCTACCAATGTGAAAAGCACGTGTTGGTAATCTTAACAGACATGTCCTCATATGCTGAAGCTTTGCGTGAGGTATCAGCTGCCCGTGAAGAAGTACCCGGACGTCGTGGTTTCCCAGGTAACTATAATTTTTTCAATTTTAAGTATCCAGTTTATTTTAATAAATATATACAGTAGAATCCAATTAGTATGACGCCGGATATATTGACAACCGCTTAATATGACGTAATCGCACTAGGAATTTGGTTTCCATATAAAATTCCTTAAAAAAACAGCTGTCTAGTCGGATATATTGACATTGCTTACATTGACATGTTGCTTATAATGACATGTCGCTTTTTGCAAAAAAATATGTCCAATTATAATGACCGACATGATTTTACATGATGTGGCCAAGTCTACGAAAGCAATTACTATGTCTTTTGAGCACAATAGCACCAGGGACTGTTTTTACAATAAAATTCTGTAAAGAAATCAATCAAAAATTACTGATTACTTGCATTAAAAAAAACACATTTGTATGTTTATGGGTAGGGTAAACTAATTATTGATGGCCTACCACGAATATCTCATAAACAAATAAAATTAGATTTTTTTTTAACAATTATATTTGATAGTAGAGGGCAAAAAATGTATGAACTCATAACCAGTCATCTTTATTCTTATGACTTTGCTATTAGAAGATAAGCAGCACATGACTGCGATAAAAAGGACCAGCTGAACCTTTACTTTGACAAAGGTGTAAGCAATAAAATAGTAAAGTTTTAAAAAAAGCAATTTAACAAGAGATTAATTGAATAAATTGTTATTCCGGCTCTTCTGATGAATATTTCTGACCAATAGCAGATCAATGTAATATACTGTGTTGTCTTTGTAACAAATGTACCCACAGAATTAATATTTTGCGTTGGTTCAATAATGTAGCGTAAAATGCCTTTAAAATTTAATAGAAGAAATTGTGTCTGTTCGCCCCCTGGTTGTTCCACTTTACCCCGTATGTGAGGTAAAATGGGTCAGATACCAAATGTTTAAAAAATAGTAAAAAATATAATATTTATATAATTAGGAATTATGTACGTATGTATGTAAGTTTTTCTGAACATAGTTCAATAGATGCTTCTTTGATGTATGTTATGTGTTGTTCATTGGGTTTAGACAGTATAATTACTGTAAGTCAAATTGGACCGTCGTGCCCCCGTCCTACCCTATAATTTTATTTTATATTAAATTTTAATGTGTAATTTTTATTTTTAATTAAAACGTTTGTATAGGCTTTTCTTTTAAATTACTGAAAAATGTAACATATTTGCATATTAAAAAGTTTTTCTTCAGTACGCTTTTAATGACGACCGGTTAGTATGACGAGATTTCGGCGTCTCTTCGATGTCATACTAAGCGGATTCTACTGTATATATTTATTATATAAATATATATAATTTTTTTTTCAAGGTTTGTTTATAATTTTTTTTTCCAACTTCTAGGTTACATGTACACTGATTTGGCCACAATTTATGAACGTGCTGGACGTGTTGAAGGCAGAAATGGTTCTATCACCCAAATTCCAATTTTGACTATGCCCAACGATGATATTACTCACCCTATTCCTGATTTGACTGGTTACATCACTGAAGGACAGGTATTAAAATAAATAATAGCTTATTTTTAGCCTTCTGTCATATGATAATGATTGTATATTATTCTATAGATCTACGTAGACAGACAACTGCACAACAGGCAAATCTACCCACCTGTAAACGTATTGCCTTCCCTGTCACGTTTGATGAAATCTGCCATTGGTGAGGGTATGACACGTAGAGATCACTCTGATGTGTCCAATCAATTGGTATGTAGAAAAATATAAAGAAAGTTTTCTGTAACACATCACACTTAAAAATTTCTATAATGTTTAAAATTTTTAGTATGCTTGCTACGCCATTGGTAAGGACGTGCAGGCTATGAAGGCTGTCGTAGGAGAGGAAGCTTTGACACCTGATGACTTGTTGTACTTGGAATTCTTGACGAAATTTGAGAAGAACTTTATCTCACAGGTATTGTTTTAGTTTCTGATTATTTTCATCATATTATTAATTGGAAAACTAAAAGCGCAATAGTAAAGCAACATTATTATATCTAGAATTAATTTTAATTTGTTTTATCAATTTAAACAAATTTTTTTTCTCCCAGGGTAATTATGAGAACCGCACAGTATTTGAATCTTTGGACATTGGCTGGCAATTGTTGCGTATCTTCCCCAAGGAGATGTTGAAGAGAATACCCGCTTCCACCCTCGCCGAGTTTTACCCACGTGATTCTCGTCATTAAAAATCTTACTAAAGTTTCCATCAATACCATATTTTATTTCCCTTTATATGTTGTCTTCTCCATGTAAAGAATATTAAATCAGTTTTTGGGATGTCTGGTACTAACCACATCCTTAATGTAAGGAAAACATGAAGACATGTTTTAATGTTTAAAGAAATTGTAGATACTTATAAAATAATGATTCTATTGTTAAAATGAAAGTATGTTGTTGTGAAACAGTATTCTGCCGTACTAGCTACAAGTTGTTGAAATATTATCAAATTTTATTATTATATTTGTTTTTTTCTGTATGATTTTAAATTACATTCCATGATAATTTTCAGTTTTATATAATCTAATAAATTCAATTTAACTGTTAAAATTTGATCATATTGTGTATATACATAGCAATATAAAATATAAAGTTACACATTGTCTGTTTCATTATAACTGTACTGCAAAAATAATTATTTTGATTGTTAAAGTTATTCAGATTCAGTCAAAATTTAAATATTCTGGTATTGGCCTAAGATTATTATTGAAATATTGCCAATAGTATTATTACTTAGCAATTATGTATAAAGATTTTATTTATTGAAGCAATATTCGAATGTCTGTAATATCATAAATTATGTATATAAATAAAAATATCAATGTGAACAATAACAGAGAACATAAGCTCAAATTCATCATACTATGTCTGAAAATTCAAATATAAATTGTTTTTAGTGTAAATAAATAATAAATGTATGAATAAAATAAATACAATTATTAAATCTGGTTTGCATAATTTTTGCCCTATCATAATGAGTCCGATGTATATAAAAGCTTCCTTATACATAGTATAACAATATTCTGCAACCACAAAAAAAAGATGTAATGCCAAATGTGGTTGCAAAAAAGTTGGACTCTTTTGTTCCCTGGCGTATACTTATTGTCAATGCCAATCATGTTCTAATGTCGAGTCGGCAACTTTAGAGGACTATGATAACAATGAAGAATCGCTAATGGGACAATTTACTTATATACAAAGTGAAGAAGAAAAAGAAGTATAATAAGAAGAACGAAAAGAAGAGGAAGTAAAAACATTTGAAAATTATGATTCCGACGAATAATTTCATTTTGCTGCTTTTTTATAAATTCCATCCTTATTTTTAGCAACCCAAATTCAGAAATATCATTTTAAAATAGTTCCGAAAGAAACAAAACCACAACAGACCCGTGAAATAGGCCTACTGAGCCAACCGCGTAAAAAAAACGCGCTAAGCACACTATCTTCTAGGTGGCGTTTAAACGTACTTTTGAAAGTGATGTATCTTTAAAACGATGGCTCTGAGAAAAAAAAAGTGTTGATGCATTTTTTGTAGATAATTTTTAGAAAATATATTAGAAATAAACAGAAAACTCACGATTTTATAAAAACTTTTTTTTTTCAATTTTTTTAAAAATCGAAATTATTTTTATTATATATCAAAAAGAATAAAAGCATATAGATAAAATCAAAGGAATCTTTCACTAAAGGAATTTTAATTGTTTTTTTTTTATTTTGCTTTCACACAAAAATTGACAGAGTTATGAATGTTTAAAGACGGCCACGCAAATTGGAAAAAAAAGAGTGCGCGTAAGGATCACACGCGATTGAAGTAAAACTTTTAATATTGTATGAGTAGGCAATTAAAATAAAAATAAAAAAACATCATATTTAAATTTTAAAAATTATTTATTAATAATCACATAACATCAATAACACAGCTTAAAACAACAGCGATAGATTAATTGCTATCATATTTCATATATGATATAATAGGTTTGTGATAACTGAAATGAGAGGCATAAATTTTGCTTTGTAAACTATGTACATTTCTTGAGAAAACTGCATCAATAGTCGTGCCATATCTTGTGGTTGATTCTAATGGAGAATTATTCATTGTTAAATTAAATTTATTATTTAAAAAATCAATTAATGGTTGAGATTCTTCTGAACTAAAATTGACATTGAAATCTCCAGCAATAATTAATGGTATCTCGTTGTCATTAGTATTTAAAAGTTTTGCACCCTCATTAGAAAAATGAAGTAACTGCTGATGAAGAAATTTAATAATATTTGATACGTTTTTATTGGGAGAAATGTAAAGGACGACTATAATTAATATTTGATTCTGAGTGTTCACACAGCGGACAACTGCAATATCACCTACTTGTGTAATTTAATTAGGAATATCCAGTAATATTGTTGGCGCAAGAAACTGCATAGGAGTCGCACTATGAAGAGTATCTGAACATGAATGATAGACAGCTACACCACCTGCTCTTGAGTTTGATCGTTTGTATCGAGTAACGCAGTAATAGTTCGGAATATCAATTCGTTCTTCATTATTAATCCAAGTTTCCGAAAATAACAAAAACGTACAACGTTGTAGCACTTTATCTAGCAGATCAGGCAAATGAGCTCGTAAACTTTGGCAGTTAAATGAAAACAATGATATGTCGTTCAAACTTATTATCTCACTCAATTTTTCTTCTTGTGTTATTAATCTACAAGTTGAAAGTCTTTGGAATTCAGTTTGTAAGTCCATTAATCCTGCTGGCCGTTTTCTTCCATGATAAAATTTTTTGTCGTTGTTTTTAGAAATGATGAACAATCCAATAATGCTGGTAACTCGTGATAATGCAACATATAGAAGCTGCTGATTATGTGTTTTATTGTATTCATATACAATTTCATCAAAAGTACCACCTTGTGATTTGTGTATTGTGAGTGCACAAGCAGACACTAAAGGAAAATGATTTCTTTTGGCAAATATGGTTTTATTTCTATTCATTGGAATAGATGAAGATCTCCTGAGAATCGGCACAGCTGTCCTACTGATATTAAGAGTTTGAATATGATGTGCAGCTTTCTTCCTAATTTTGTTACCTATCTTACCAGGAAATTCAAACCATAAACGTAGAAGTTCATCATTATCGCCACGTTCTATGTACTCTAATTTTCCTACACAACTCCATTAGTTGTTATTATGTAAAATTTATTCAGAACTAAAATTATTTCATACGGCAAACCCCCGGTATCAATAACCGATTTTTGTGAAAATGCTGACGAATGTATGATTGTTGATCTGTCGCATGGCAACCTACACAAATATCCGTGGCAGTAGATATTATTTTGTCTTCAACGAGATTCAATATAAATTTATTACATTCCATGACACATTTATTCTCTAAGAAGAGTCTTATTCCATGAGGACATAATACAGCAACCTTTTCTTTTGTAAAAAAACGTGATTCAATTAATGCAAGTTCATATAGGGTTTGTTTAGCGTTCGACTTACGCATGACATGACGGGAGTGGATCGCGACTCGCGACATCAGCGCTTACAGCGTCGTAGTGTTCAACTTCACGTTGGCGTTTTCGTTGCATTTGTACGGATTTACACCCGTGTCGCGCCCATGAAATTTTTACACCCATATCGCGCCTAAAGAAGTTTTACTTCAAAAAGCTTTTATAAAATTTCGAGTTTTCTGAAAATAGTTTGTACTAAAGTAGTGAATCTGCTAGAATCTATTAAGATGTCTATAATGAAGTGAATTCTAGATGGAATGTGAATTACTTTTTTCTGGTGGAAATGGCGCTCAATAAACCATATGATTTAACAGAAAAAACTTCGTATATGCTTCTTATTTGCATGATAGCTCACTCATTTTACACGCAAAAAACTTATAACAGCACTCATTTTAAAGCTTATGTTGTGAGCACTATAAAACCCAATTTCACTGAAATACATAAAATGTAAAACCTCGACACTAGATTGCTTTAAATACAACAATTAAATCTTGAACAAAATAAAAGCGACTTTGCTCTTTCAAATCTTGCTTAATATTTTTCCTAGAACACTTCATGTAATACTGATTTATTAAGATTTTTATTGACATTATTTTGTTCATTACATGATTTTCGTTAAAATGTATATTTTAGGAGATATTTGCAAAAAAACGAAGAAAAACGCCAAAAGTATTATATGAATATTTAGTGGCCAGTAACTTGAAAAGTGTTAGCTTTTTTGAAAAACTATAGAATTTTTTTCTTATAATTAGTTTTTCTGTCGATTTCCGACATTATTTTGAAAAAATGTAATAACACAATTGAGAAGGGGTGTCATCCCCCCGGGGGGTGATGGCGGAACCCGAATTGTTTTCACTTTTGAACTTGAGGGTAAGATGAACCTAATTCCAAAATTTCATTCAATTCGGAGCACAGTAAAAAAATTCAGAGGTTATACCCTTTTTTCCTCTCCGTTTACTGCACTATTTATGCTCTACAATTTTGTTTTAGGTAATTTTGCGATAGAACTGACTTAGCTGAAGATCGTGAAAAGATCATTTTTTTACCTTTGATCTTGTGCCAATTTTTTAGCTCGCACCGGAACTTTTGAGATTCCTTCTATAATTGCATTTTAAGCAATTTTGCCAAGTTACAGCCCATTATGAATTATTGTAACCATCATGTGCCGATTTTAGGTTTAAATTGACTAATGATCTGATTTCAAAAAGCTTCAAATAGAAATCATCTTAATTGTAAGGCAGAAAATGAGAGAAACTCTAGGCTAGTCTGAGGTCAAGTGCGGCCTTACCTGCTAAGCACGTTCGAGAAACGAAACGGTGAAAAGCTTTCGCACCGCAAAGGAATAATCATGGAATAATCTATCTTATCAAGAAAATTGAGATTTAGCTACATAAGTGAAATTTTCAGCAGTTGATTTCAAAAATAACTAGTTGGTATTGGTATAGTATTTATAATTATATTAAATTATTTATAATTTAACAGTATTTTATA